AAAGGTCTTATGTAAAAATTTTCAATTTTTATTCTAATTAAGAATCAACAAATATGGAATCTTCAAATACAGCACTCTTTCACATTTTAATATTATCTGATAAACGAAATTCCTGGACATCAAATCCGAGAATGTTGAAGGGTATATCCGAATAGGCTTCTACCAGTGATTTAATTCTCATATAAAAAATTGTATACCTTGTGATATAGATATATTTTAGCCAATGAAAACGGTGAAGAAACTATAGTGGCCTACAATATAGCTACAATAGCTATAATGTACTAAAATATAAATAACTGTATAATAACACATTTTATTTATATTTTTAAGTATATTATTATATATTTGATCTTATTAATCGATGCAAAAACAGTACATCAAAATCACTGTTATATTTGTTACACAATATTATGATTTCAAAGAGGGGAAATTGATTAAAGCACTTAGTGATTTAATTTTAGGAAATGTTACTTAATGACTTTGCATTAAACCGACGATATCTTCTTTTTTAATTAAAAGATAATTAACGTTCAATGTATTACCTAATAATTATGTAATTCTGTACATTTTTTACTAAATTTTTTTTTTACTACATTATAAAGGATGAGGTTATGTTTCACAATAAAGTTTATAAAGTATTGTAATGTTGTCAAGGCCTGTCCCTTATCATTTCAATCAATTTTAAAACTTGGTCATCAGACCACCCCGACATTTTCACTGTAACAAGAATACAACATCAAAATTGCCGGTTTACTCAGTATGTTTCGAAGAACTTTAAGTTTTCTGAAAAAAAAAAAAATGAACGCTGAAACTCTTTTACACGGTTAATTTTCTCGATCTAAGTGAGTTAATTCATGAAAACAGTAGAGAAAGTTAACTTTGTATGAGCCTTCATAGGTCTAAATCAGATGAAATAAAAAATAAAAGCAAAAACAATTCAACTATTCAAGAAATAATAGTGAGTCGCACAGATTTTATCTTTCTTGTATCAACATTAGTAAATTTTATTTGTCTTTTGAAACTCTATATGACAATACCTATCCGGTGATATATCTTTTTCTTCAACGTTTAAAGGCGGTATAATAAAAATGGCAAAAAAATCTGGTGTGGTGCGCGGATCAGACAACTTTCACTTACCAATATTATAGTAAATAGGTATTTTCATATATGGATAGGGAAGTCAAAGTGAAAATGACGGTATAACTTTATTTAAAACAATTGATTACCATGTTTTTTCCACCCATCGAATCTGTTAAATTTATACGTTTGCATCAATTTCCATTACTTTTACAATGCGTAGTATCAAAATTGTTTGTATTGACTAATTATTATTATTAATTATACATTCATATAATTAGTAATATAATTAATTATATAATTATTATGACTAATTATTATTACATAATTAGTATTGACTAATGTGAGAAAAAAAATTCTGAGTTTTATGGAAAACATTTATCACGAAAATTATATTTTTAAACTTACAATATAAAAGCCCTGTACAGAGGGGTATCGGATATCTGTAGAGAGAGGGCCGGCAAAGCAATCATTTTTATCCATTCATTATATTTAATAATTTTTTATATCATTTGATAATATAGAATGGTTAATTATTTTATTTAAAACAATTAAAGCGACTTTAGAGGATGAAATGTTGAAAACTATACATTTAAACCTTGTTAGAGAACACCAATAAGAATAAGGACTACATCACATTAAAATCTATTATTTTGATACTGATATAATTAATTTAATCAAAATCTTTCGAGCCGTTATTGTGAAAATTGCAAAAAAAAATTTGTAAAATCGATGATATAAAGTGACACATCTAGATTTCGGATTTTAACGAAAAAATTGCTATAATACCATACACGGGCGGATATACGGGGGGGGGGCTTTCGTTCTGAAGCCCCCCCCCCAAAAATGGTAAAATATAACCATGTTTTATCGAAAAAAATATTTAAAAAGTATCTCGTAAAGTATTATTGTTCGTGTGATTAATATTAAAAGGGCTTTAGGAATCACTTAAACACCATTTCATACAGGTAGTTTCTTTCTTTTTTTCCAAAGTAATTATCGTTATTTTTATGAAAAAAAAGCTTTCGGGCTGAAGCCCCCCTTTACCCCAAAAATTAAATTCTGGATCCGCTAGTGATACCATAGGCATGTACAATACGCAGTTTCAGTTGCATACGACTTTTCGTTTTTCACCAGACTGTTCACATACATACCACGCAGACCATTTTGCAAGGCCATCAAAACGTGCATTTCCGTTTAAAACTCAGATTCAAAAATGTTCCCGATCGCAATACTTTTCCTTACCATATATTAGGTATTTAAGTAAGTGAAAGCAAAAATGATGGTAAAATACTTGCTTACCTATTTCTGGGCCTTATTTTCGCCATTTAGTCAACTTTTTCTAACTCTTTTATTGATTTTAGTTTATAGATATTATTCATTCATGTAGATTAATTGTTATTGATTTTGCTTTCATTTGTTTTCTTTAAAATATTCTGAAGGCAAAATGATGTTCTTACTCTCTCTATATTTGTATAGGAGAAGCTTTGGTGGGGACGGGAGAGAGGAGGGGGAGTGGCAATCGCCTCATTCATGCATACAGTTTTTCCTTCTTCCACATCGACTTTATCCTACAATAATATTTACAAAACATAGTTACATACCTTATGTTTCTATCATATCATATCAAAATACAAACAATTCCATACATTGCTTGACTATAATCTGAAGTGGGTTCAAAAGTTAGTTGCATTCTGTGTAGTTTTTTTCAAAGTTCATTTTTTTATCTTGAGGTATGATAACTTATTGAGCAATCGATGTTATTTCAGCCTAATTCATCCTTAATTGTTGAAGTGTATTTTGAACCTTATTCATCTTAATTGATGTTTCTGAATTTTTCCGATTTCCTCTGTCATATGGTATATAAAATAATAAATTGGTCATTTATATGTATTCAATAACATAATATATATAAATAAAATAAAGGTTTTGTTTGGGTGCAATGTATCATCAAAGAAATCAATTGTTACTTTCTCATTAAACATAATGGACAAAGGAAACAAAATTTAATTTAAAACTTCTTTTATGTTTGGAACCAACATGGTTACAAAATTGAAAGTTTTTGCTAATAATTGTCCGATTTCGATGATTTTTTTTAAAATTTAGGAGTATAGAAGTATATTTAGTACAGAATAGAATTTAATAATCTTTTATATAATCAAGAACAAGAAAACAGTGTGTAATTTTCGAGTTATTCTTTCATAACTTTTTCGCCTGAATTTTCGGGATGATTGGACTATTTTACCGGCCTGAAGAAGAATGAAATCTTCAAAATTGATGGTTCAATTTCGGGATTCGGTGAAGAATTAACGATGATGAGCTTACCGACAAAAACACCTTCAATAAAAAATATAAACTCCTCTTCTCACATTCATAGGAGCCTCAAGTTGACCATATGAGACATGTATTCAATGGCAATAATACAATTAAAGTAAGGTTGTGTGGATGCGAACCTTTGCCTTGACTTATCTTGAAAATAGTACGTTTTTGGGCTTAAGAACGCAGAATCCGATAGTTCCGAGCGAACAGTCCGGATCTTGCTGTACATATCAAAATCTTCCAAGTTCTATTTGTCCGGTATCGATCTACAGACCACCGTTCCAGTATTGAAGCCTAGCAAAATATTTGTAGCGACTTTATTTATTTTAAAAAGAAAAACAAAAGCGGTGAGTACAATTCGCTAACCTCCCATGAAATCCTGAATCCAACGGTCCCCCTTTCATAATATTTGAGCATGACAGGAGTTTATATTTGGTACAAAACCGATTTCGAGTCTTACTGTAATAATATATGTGAGGATTAGTTTTAAGAATTATCTATGGTTAGTGATCCCCAAACGCGAGACCAAGACGAGTCCTAGTACTATAGAGATATTACTGTCATTTTTCAGATAGGAGAAACCTAACTAAGCCCAAATGAAAAATTGGAAGACTTAAATTCAAAAGAAAATTGGTTATACCAATTCTTTACATATAATAACTAAAATTGTCGAGTATTAGAAACTATTCAGCCTTAATTTTTATTCACAAAACCGATTTTTTTTCTACCAGTCTTGGTCTTGGTCTTGCAACAATTAGGCTGTCTTGGTTACTATTCACCAATTATCAAATAACAACACTATCTATAGTATGATTGTTAAGTATGCTGTGTCTATAGCAACGCGATATAATTTGGCAGCGCTCTTTTATGAAAATAAAGTGATTGTCTCCAGTTAAAACATTATTTTATTTAAAGGAAGGAGATGGTCCGGGGTTGTGGTCATTAGGAATGGGATGGGAGCATTTAGAAGAGGGGGAAGAAAAATTGGGGGCTAAACTTAAAATATTGACTAACTGTGGGGGTATATTTGTGGAAGAAATATTGTCGAGCCATTTTTCACTGCCTTTAGGGTAAATTTTATTTTTCAGAGAAAGTTGATATATTTGATTAAATTTATGTTGGAGGGACTGCTTTTTAGCGGTTTTGATAGAGGAGCAAATTTTTGAAATCTTGTACTTAAGTTTAATGATATTTTCTTCACCAATAACCGATGTAAGAAATGTGGTGAGGGAGGAATTTTTTTAATTAAGAGAATCTAATTCCTGTATAATCTCTCTTATTTTTAAATTTAACAAACTTTTTTTGAAATTAAATAAAGAATTTCGTAAATTGGATTTCATGAGGGGGCAACATGGAAATTATTAAACCGGTACTCGATACATTTGGGGAAGATTCGGTTTGATCGACATTTTAAGAGAAAACTACGTTGCTATGTTTTTATAGTGAGCTGTTTGCGGAGGTTGCAAGAATTATTATTATATGGGTGGAATTTTGTTTTAAGAAGATTAAAGATACCTAGACAACTGGGTTCAGTGAAGTCAGTGTTGACCATCTCCTATTTTTATAATGTAACGGTCAACTATTAAATATTCTTTATTTTATATAGTAATCTCAGTGAACAATTCATGCTTATGATCTTAGTTCACTAATTACGGGTACATGTTTTATTTATAGTACATTACATATCACGAAGATATCCAATAGGTTTCTGATATAGGTTAATAATTCGACTATTTTCAGTCTGTAAGTGTCCTGATCCTGCTCAACTCGTAGCAGCCGTCAAGAGATGGAGCAGTCCTGGCCACCCTTCCTCTTGAGGATAGTGGCCACGCCGCTGTGGTGCTTCATGGAGGCCAGCGCGGTTGGGGTGAGGCCGCTGGAGTCCCTGGGGTTGGGATCTGCGCCTGCGTCGATCAGCAGCTGGGCGCAGCCGACCCGCCCCCTGAGGGCCGTGTAGTGCAGCGGGGTGCGCCCCATGCTGTCCCTCTTGTCTTTGTCGGCCCCCGCCTCCAGCAGCCGCCGCACTAACTCCTCATGGCCACCCACCACCGCAAGGTGCAGTGGCGTCCTCCGCACGCTGTCTTTCTGGTCTACGTTCGCTCCTTCCGCTATGGCCGCCACTGCCGTCTGGATGTCCCCGCGCTCTGCCGCCTTCATCAGCTTCTTCGTTGCTTCCGCCTGAGCAATAAAGAAAAGTACTTTAATAAAAAAAAAAGAAATAAATAACAATATCTAGAATATGACTCAATTGATAAAGACGAAATACAAGGTTTTATACAAGGTTAATACGGAAATACAAGGTTAAACTTTTTAAATGATAAAAATAGTTTCATATTTGGTTAAAAACTTGGAATAACAATGCGTTTTGGAGGTGTGCACTAACAGTCCAGTAAAATTAGGGATCGATCCCAAAATAAAAAAAATAAATATGAAACTGGTCAAAAATTGTTCATTACCCTCCTCATAATAACTGGTAAAAAGTTACAAGGAATCCCACGTCGGGTTTTGATGGAGGGAGGGGGAAAAGGACAAAAAACTGATTTTTTAAAAGTTTTTTCTAGAATCTATCTAAAACTTTCAGGTTTTTCACAAAAAAATTCCAGTACAATATTAAAGTACTTTATTGAATATTTAATAGTTGACCGTTGCATTATAAAGGAAGGAAATGTTTTGGGGTGGCGGTCATAAACAGGCTAAGTTGTAGCAAAACTATTTTAGTAAAAGCCAACGTTTCGACCCGACCTTACAGGCCTTCTTCAGGGAGGTGTGTTCAGTTTTTTTAGAAGAGTTTCACTTAGAACTGAAGTTCTAAGTTTGAGTTTGAAGTGAAACTCCTAGCTGAACACATCTCCCTGAAGAAGACCTGCAAAGTCGGATCGAAACGTTGGCTTTTACTAAAATAGTTTTGCCACTATTCAGTATATTTATGACCGCCACCCCGCACCATCTCCTTTCTATAAATTACTTTAGAATCTCTATAAAAATTACCCTAAATATTGTTTTTATATAATCAACGGTTACGAAGATATTTAAATGATTATATTTATTGTATTTTCACTTTAATAAAAAATTGCTTCAAACCGCAAAATAATTATTGTTCATAGTAGATGATACCATTACGAAGTTTAATTCGTTTTTTAAACATTTTCAATCCTTCAAATTATTAAAAGTTTCATTGTTTTGACGATTCTAAAAAATCATTGACAATAGCATTGCAGCCGATATCAATCAATGGGGAATTTCTTATTAATGAATTGAAGTTTAGATTGACATTGATTTTATATGATTGATAATATGTGATAGTAGAGCTCATAACCTACAAAAAAGTTATTACAAACCATGGTCTGATTTCATATAGTGAACCACATTTTGTATTTTTTAAGTGAACCACGTTTTCTGGTCAATAAAATGCAATAACTAAAACATGTGTAATTTAGTTTACAATTAAATACTTCATAGTAAGCTATATGGAATTTAAGTATTTAAGTATTATTAAGTATTATTAATTTAAGTCTGTCTTTTTTTAAACCATTTAAACTTTTGAACTTCAGTATCTTGATAATTTTCTAGTAAAACTAATTTAATATCTAACTTATTAAATATTGCCATCGCCGAACAGTCGGCGGAAATTTTACAGTATTGATTTCACTGTTGATTAAATATTTTAACGAGAGGTTTGTTACAGAGTAAGTTGAGATTCTACCTCGAAGAGGAATTATTTATATCCAGTATCGACATTTTTTTTCTATAATTGGAAATTCCATCAATTTACTCCCTTTGATATCTCCCTAACTAATATAAACGTAAAGTTAATCATACAAGGAAGTTTTTCTAAAAGTGTGGCATCTCGGGTGGTATTCCAAAAGCTTCAATTTTATTTATTAAGACTAAAAATATGTTTTTGTCGAAAACATACTGTTTTATGAAAAAATGTTCTGTAAAACGAGAAGTGTTGAAGACGAAGATGTCTTCAAATCGAAACTAACAGAATGCATTATAAAATAGTTTACAACAATTATATTCGTAAGAATAAGTTATGTTTACTAAATTAAAATCTCAAAATCCGAATACCATTTTTTATTTTTTTGTTGTAGAATTATGAACTTACATAAACATATTGCTAAAAAACAGTATAAAATGCTGATTCAAAACTTATTACATAACAATTTAGCAAGGCAACATCTAAAGTTAACTTACTTTAGCAGCTGTAGCATTGCGTTTCAGCGATGAACTTTTCTTGCTGGTCTGTTAAAAATTAAAATATCAATTTTTAAAAATAAATAAAATAAAAAATATATGAAGGCAGAATATTATATTTGCTAATTCAATTCTAAACTATGTATCATCATATAATCTACTTTGAAGTGAATCTTAAACATCTTTAAAATATGTATAAGCTAATAATATAGTTCTATTACAATTAACAAAAAAAAAAATGCTATATAATGTGTTTAAGAGTATTTATTTTTATTTTTTACGATTTACATATAGTCCGTGATACAGACCTATTTTTATTGAATTATTAACTGCTCCCTGAAACTTCGTAAATAGCTTCATCTCATCGTAACCTACAACTATTGTATTTACGAAAACTCTTGCAATTGGGGCGTTTCATTCTGGAGCGGGGCAAACCTTGTTTATTTAATCAGATACTAAAAACTCGTAAATACTCATTAGCTTTGTACTTGGATCGTAAGATACTTTGATCACAAACTCGAGAAAAAAGGTGGCCTTCAAAAATATTGAGCCGTTTGGCGTGACCTATACCCCCCAAATTTTAAAAATAACAATGTTATATTGGACAAATGGCCCAGTTTTTAGTAGCCAATTAAACAGACAAAGTTTGCCCCCCTCCAGATTGTAAACGCTCCAATTCCAAGAGTTTTCATAAATAAAATAGTTGTAGGTTACGATGAGATGAAACTATTTACAAAGTTTCAGGCGGATGTTAATATTTCGATAAAAAGTTGTGTGTACTAAGAACTAATACAACAATGAATTTAAATAAATTAAATCAAGCAGAGAACAATTAGTTATTCTTTATTTGTAGAACACATTTCTGAAGATCATTGTTTGTTCCATTAGTAATTAAAACTCGAAAAGGGTCAGTTTTAGAAAGAATTGCGGTATCGTTAGGAACTCGAATATACAGCTCAGTACAAAGAGCCTTATATGCAAGGCTATATTCGAGCCAATACCGACATATACCTCGGTGACATTGACCATCAACGCAAGACACTGAAAAATACTGTTAACAGTAGAGATGGGCTTTTGGAGAAGGGTAGCAAGGAAATCCAGAAGGTGAAAAATTAAAAAAACGAATTAGTTCTGGAAATGATGCAGGTGGAAAGAAACATTATAGCAAATATTGAAAAGAAAAGGTTATGCTGGGCATGTGAAAAGAATGATGCCTGAAATATTGCCAAAGATATGTATGGAACTGGAAGTAGATGGGAAATTGAAAAGAGGAACCCAAGGTAAAATGGAAAGTTGAGGCGGAAGAAAGGGTGGTGCATGGCATCATAGAAGAACAAGCCTGGATGGAAGATGATCTTAAATGACATTTAGGTCAAGTATAACCACATTATTGGAAAAAACCTTAATAATAATAAATAAGGTTCTTTTTTTAAAACAAATAATTGCTCAATCGCCTTCATTTGGTGATGTTACATGGGAATCGATATTTCATACTTTCAACACCAATATAAAAAAAATCGATTAGGTTTCACTTTAGAAATAATCGACTCATATACATATACGACGGTGATGGTAAATATCTATAAAATACATTTAAAAATACCTCTAAAATAGAACTGGAACGTGCTCTGTACAAGGAACTATTTTTGGCCTCTTTTTCAACAGTGAAAGTCTGTAAAACAGGTACAATATATTAGAAGTTATATTTAAGAAAGGTCAATTTATTTTCTATAAAAAAAAAAAAAAAAATGGTTAGGAAAACAGTTTATTTAAACATTACTATAATGAGTACAGTATTAAAATGATGGTAACATATTCCTGATATGATTAGAAAATTGTTACTTTTTAATCCTTTATATATAAAATACCTCAGTTTTCATCGGTTTCATTAGTACATTAGCTTTGTGTTATAGGTGGAGATATCTATTAAATAGGTGGAGAATCTTTTTATCATTAGAAGCCGCTTCAAGGTTAGGAAGTGATAATGGAGGCCGCTATAAATTTTTATATTTTACTATTGCTATTTTTAATAAGGAAATACACACCCATTTACATATATTCAACTTAATTTTCAAATTTTCGTAATCTAATCAATTAAATATAACTCCGCCATAACCGGTCCCAAGCTCGGTTGGTAAAGGAGACGAGAGATCCTCATGCAGCTGAATGGGTGGCATCAATTTCCGTCTTAGCTCAGTAGTGACAGTTTTCCACCTACGTCATGAAGCAAGGGAGAGTTATCCTGGAAGCTTTAAGAAGATAGCAGGCTTTGGGTACGACAGACCCATACTCTGTCAACTAGTGCTGTAAAAATAAGCCTCGAATTCGACTAGAACCTCGACTAGAGTCGTGAAGGCTCGGCTCTAGTGACTTCAAACCTCGAACCTCCGAGGGTCGAGTTAAAGCTCATACATAGGGTTCTAGCCTTGATGAATTTATTTTAAAAAAAAAATGAATTTACTGAACATTTTCGTATACAAATATTTTTCTGTTGCTCACCTCTTCCTAAAAACAGAGCAAGTTAAGGTAGAATTAGAAAAATCGTAGATCATATAAAATTACACTTGCTGCGGTATGTTCCATGTTTTTCCCCTTCTTCCTCACTCCGAAATTTCTTAACTGCGTCGAAATTTGTCTCCCTCAAAAATGAAACTACCTTCTGGGCAGCTCTGCTTGAATGATTAAAACTGAAGTAACCTGGTAGCTTTATAAAATTAAAATGAAAATGATAGCCGACTTTTATTATATAGCACTTGTTACGTCTAGATTTGTGAATAATCAGTATAACCCAGCTTACTTATACACTTATTTATTAAAAGAAACAATAGACTATAACACTTTAGCACACTAGCGGATCCAGGATTTAATTTTTTTTTTGGGGGGGGGGGGCTTCAGCCCAAAAGATTTTTTTTCATATATATACAACGGTAATTAATTTGAAAAAAAAACCAGAAAGAAATGAACTACCTATATGAAATGGTGTTTAAGTTATTTTTGAAGTCCTATCAAAAGTAATTACACGAACAATAATACTTTAAGAGATAGTTTTTAATATATTTTCGTATAAAATATGGTTATATTTTACCGTTTTGGGGGAGGGCTTCAGCCCGAAAGCCACCCCGTAAATTCGCCTGTGCTTTAGCATCGTGACTATAATAACTGACCAACTAGGAAGGTAACACAAAGATAAGGATCACTAAATAATCGATAATACAATCGAGACACAACAGCACTTTTATATCATTTAAAAAATTTACTGAACTAAGAGAATTATGTTTATTTGTTGATAATGTATTATTATTCGTGTTATTATATTTAATGGGACTTCAAGAATCACTTATATACCATTTCATCTAGGTTCTTAGTTTTTTTTTTCTAATGTAATAATCGTTATAGCATCTATATCGTTGTTACAAACATGCACATATATATAGATTTCGGACTAAAACCCACAAAATTAAATCCTATTGCCTCCAGGCTCTGATCTAGACCTATTACATGTAGAAATTTATTTGTTCTCCCACGATTTATCCTAAGCCTGGTCAGCTTTACTAAGCTAGGGCGGTCGAGATGAAATTTAAGATTTGCAAACCATGAAAATAGTGCTTATTTTCTATATTTTCTGTTGAACTGCTTAATGGTCCTTACCCTTCGAGGCACTTTCCCAGCCGTAGAAATGCTGCCAGTCTTTCATTATTTATCCCTCACTTCTCTTATCAAGTCCAGTGAAGTGCCTCATATAATGCAGCTGTTTTTGATTCGCAGCTTTCATTTTCACTTTTCATTCTGTCATTTCATTCCCCGATATTTTTACTTATACTCGGTACCCAGTGGAAAAAACATTTGTTGTGTATCAGTAGAATGATTAAAAAAAATAAAAGTGTATTAATAATTTATTTTGATAGAATAAGTGTTCACATACAGCTGCTGGGTCTGTCTAAATAACTATTTTTTGTTTATGTATGTTTTTTCGCTATACATTTAGGGATTAATAAGAGCATATAGTTCGCCACTGAAGATTCTGAATTCATATGGTATTTATAAGAAAAAATTGCTGGTTCTTTTAAAGGATAAATACGGCTACAGAAGTTCGATTATTTGTTTTTGATGCGCCAGTATATATTTTTAGATAATTTGTAACTGTGTCCTGTTCAATTTAAAGTAAATTGATGGGTAAAACTGTTCTTCTCTACGTCGTCGACTAGATTAAATCTGTTATGGATATCAATTAAAGATTTGGGAATGGGAATAGTATATCCCACCGGAGATTAATAGTTGTGTAGCGCTTTGAGAAGAGGCTGTAATTCCTTTTTAATGAAGAATGAATGAATGGCATTTAAAAAACAAATATTAATTGGTTGTTAAGTAACTATTTAATTTACATATGATAGACGATACCTCTATAGAAGAGCTGGGACGTACCCTAGATGTTGTAGCGTATCTATGAGGATCTTCTAACAAATAAATCTGCAATAAAAAAACAAAACAACATTAAGGTGTGTTCTTTAAACAACAATATACAAATAAAAACATCAACAAGGCGAGATTAATAAAATGAAATATAAATTATAAATAATATCTCATTATAAAGAATATTGAATGTTGAACATTTCCCTCGCTTACAGTATGCAGGTCCGATTTTTAGTTTCCGAGGTATTTTAACCCATATTTTCAATAAAGCTCGTTATCATTTGGTTTTCGTCACTATTTTGTACCTATTCACTTCTCTACAACGGCGTCGCGTTAAGTAACAACTTTAAATAATAGCTCATTAAGAAGAGGATGAAATTATAAACATTTCTAAGAATATGCAGGTCCGATTTTTAGTTTTTGAGCTATTTTAATCCATATATAAAAATCTGGTGCGCGCAACACACAACTTTCACTTAACGCTCTACTTTGAATAGAAAATATTTTCTGGCAATGCTGGGCTATTATAAAATCTTTTGAAGTGCATTTTAAACAGAGCTAAAGCTTAAAGCTTACAGATAATAGGTCATTAAGACCATTATAATTACAAAATGTCTATTTAATAAATTGACGGTAGACAATAAAAATTTAGTCACTCCATCTGCTTTGATAAACCACAGAATGACAAACTCCAATCTCAACATTTTTAAGTAATGTCATTTTAATGAAATTTTTAGTTGAAAAAGTTATCTATGCAGACAGTGAGTATGTTGATTCCGGAGATGGTGATCGCAGTGTTGAAATAAAGAACTGAGAATAAAGGTATAAATTTAGGTACTTCTTTCTTATGAAAGGTGTTCTTAGGAAAGATACTTTATTAAATATCTGTATAAAAATGTTTTTTTAAGTCTAAACAATTAAAAAAATATATTTTAAATTTATCCAAATTTTCGCCTCTTCAGAAATAAAATCTGTTTTCACAATATATTATGAATTTCCACGTGAAAAAAAATCCTTTCAAAAGAGTTATTATTAGACATTATACAACAAATAATAACATTAAAAAATGAATATTAACCAATCAATAACATGTATTGTATATAAAAATCGCTGCAAATTTTTTCCCAATGGTTTATTATTTCCAAACAATTATACATCTAAAGTAGCATTACCTTCATAGTTAAAAATAAAAAAAATTAAAGGTGACGGACTAATTAACGGACTAAACTTTTTAATCATTAGTAATATGCTAAGCAATACCTAAGTAACACATTCACAATCCAAAACAAGAGATATAACCTTTGCAGCAGAACATATTTAAAAAAAACTAGAGACCATATCTTTCCTCCTAATTTTCCGATTTTAGAAAATATAAATACCTTTGTAACACCTTATCACAATATGGAGAAAAAAGTGTATAATTTTTGAGTTATTCGGAATTTAATGTTACCATCCCTCGTACCTTTTTTTCCAGCTTCTTTTCGTTGAAGTATGTTATATAGATAAATTTCAAGGGTGTCGAGAAAATGACTTTTGCGAAGTTTCATTGAAATCGGTACATTCGTTTAGGCGCTACAGTCTATAGCAACGCAGAATTTTCTGCATTTTCATTTTTTTACTCGTTTATTAACTTATCAAATTCTTTCAAAAGTTATATTTAGCATTTTTTTGTAACTCTGAATAATGTGAAATGATTAATTTTTTAAAATAAATAGATTAAGACGTATATGAACATTGGGCATTTAAGCCCTGTAAAGTGACATCAATGAGGATAAGACCTAATTGATATTAAAGATTACGTCATTACGCAATGATACACCGAGTTTAATCAAAATCGTTATAGCCGTTTTTGAGAAAATTATAAAAATGTGTTTCAGCGTTCATATGAAGTGGCACTTCCGGTTACCCGATTTTAAGGAAAAAGTTGCTGTCACATCTAAGACATATAACTATCTTAAATACGTAATATCAGTTTCGTACGACTTTTCGTTTTTGAGCTAGACTGCTAACATATAAACACAGACACACAGACCATTTTACGGAACTTGGTCATTTCGACTCAGGCTACCTCAAAACGTGTATTTTCGTTGAAAACTCAGATTCAAAAATTTTCTCGATCGCAATACTTACCCTTACTATATATTACATATATACGTAAGTGAAAGTAAAAATAATTCAATTAATCGACTACAACCGAGTTTATCCGAGCGTTACACATCAGAAATCTGACAGATCAATATTATTCTGTCTCTACAAAAAAGTGTAAATAGTACTTGTTTTCACTTCAATAAAATAAAATGTTGTAATAATATTAACATTTCTTTTATATATTAGCATAAAATTGTTATAATTTGGTTTTGGATGCTATTTTTTTCCCTATCTTACTCTCAACACGGTATTGGGTTAAGAAACAATTTTCTATGATAGCGCATTACAAAGAAGATGAAATGTTGAACATTTCCCTTGCATACAGTATACAGGCACGATTTTTAGTATATGAAATATTTTAGTCCTAATGTTTAACTAACCTCGTTATCATTTGGTTTTTGACACTGTTTTCCCTTTTTCGCCTTCCTAACACGGCGCCGCGGTATGATACTATTTTGAATTATAGCCTATTGCAGAGAGGATGAAATGACTTCGATTTTGATATTTGAATCCAAGTATTTCCTTCAAGCTAACAATTTATAAACATAAGTCACAATAAATAATCAGGTGAATTACCTCATCTGGCTGTAGTGATCGAGGTCTTTCAGAAGATCTCCGTCTCTGTAGATTTGGCGACCTGATCTACAGAAAAAATCAGATATAAATAAATAATCTTGCTCAATCATTTAAAATGAGTTGTCAATATTTAAGTTTATTATATAAAAATAGATGAGTATAGCTTTCATAAAAATACTGGGAAAATATAAAATATAGCATTTAAAGCATTAAAAATTACAAGCAATATAATATCACTCCATTTTCATAATATGTAATTATTATATAAATACGTAAGTAAAATTTTGTAAGGATACTGATTGAAATAAAAACATTTACATCCGCAGAAAGACCTACATATAATAAAATATCTGATGTAATACAAAAACCGTGTAAAGTTAAGACGAAAATTATATCAAATCAACAGTTAAACAAATCGTAAAACTTAAAATGAATATTTAATTTTATAAATAGAAAATTTACTTATTTATTTATTTTTTCACTTGTTTATTTACTATTTTCTTTTTTTTAAAGATTTACTTTATTTTTAATTATTTCACTTATTTATTTACTTTTTTTATTTGTTGAAGATTTACTTTATTTACACTTGTTTATTTCTTATTTTACTTGTTTATTTACGACTTTTTCTTTAAGATTTACTTTATTTGTACTTATTTATTTTTTATTTAACCCATTTATTCTCTTTCTTTTTTATTTTCTACCACCTTCAAAAACTGTACGATGGACATACCACATAAAACAAAAAAGAAAAGAACGTAATCAGAGATACGGACTACTTTCTAGGCTACTTGATAGACGTTCTAAATTATCCGTGACTAATAAATTAACTATTTACAAAGTCCTCATTAAACCACTTTGGACATATGAAATCGAACTATGGGGAACAGCAAATATATCAAATTTAGAAATCATCCAGTCAAAAGTCCTTCGGAAAATTGTAGACGCACCCTTTTATGTTTCAAACTTTATTGTTACACACTGACCTTAACACTCCTTTCATCACGGCAACTGCCACTGACCGCTTTAGTAATCTTCATGACACACTGACTCTAAATTCCAATCCACTTACTCAGGCTCTATCTACTGCCACAAATCCATATAAAGCGCCCAGAAGATTGCTGAGGCGCTGGCCAAGAGACTTATTGCATTGAGCTACTTGCTGTATTATCTTTTTTGTGTGTGTATTTGTTATTATGTTATAATGTATGTGTTATTTTACTACTTTTTTTTTTTGTTTTGTTTTTTGTCTTTTTTTTATTAATATATTTTTTTATGCTATCATTCATTCTCCCTAATATCACATTTGCTGAATACCGAGGTAGATGGCAAATTTATTGTAAGCCAGGAATATGTATAACTAATAAATAATTTTTTTTTTAGATTTTTATTATTTTTTTTAAGATTCACTTCTTTTACTTCTTTATTTTTTATTTCACTTCTTTATTTAATTCTTTTTTTAAAATTATTCATATTTATTTCTCTATCATCTCTATATATGGTATGGATGAACACTTGTAACCTTAATGCTTATTGCCTTCCAAAAGTGGCTCATTGTACTTTTAAAAAATCATAAACAAGACAAGAGAAATTAGTATAAAACTATAACCGTCATGAAAAGCAACTTAACTTTAATTAAATAAAAAAACCTATGCTTTATGTTAAATATTTACAGTGTTTTATATAAAATATATATTTGTTAAGACATTCTAGGTCTAACATAATATTGTACTTATTAGTAAGATAATTATACTATAGAAACTTATTATATGTGAGTATAGTTACCTCAATACTAGGAGTGTTAGGCGATGATCCGATTTCCGCTGCCAGAAACTGTAATAATGATACGATTGTTAGTAATGTAAGTAATTATTATTATTGTTTTATTATACCTATCAGTTGCGGAGACATATATATTGCGTTCTGAGAGAATACATAAATAAAAAAAAAAGTATTTTATTTTTTGCCAACGTTTCGGCATAAGTTGCAGGCCTTCATCAGGGCTGAGAAGAGACAAGTTAACAACCAAAAATTATCAAAGAAATATTGAAAAAGGGCATGAGAACAAAAAATATGTTATCTGCTAAGAAATGAATTTTAAGGTCTGTTATGTATAGTGTTGCCCAAATGCGAGACCGAGACGAGTCTTGGTCTTGCAAACTCAGTCTTGGTCTTGCGCAAGATTCTCCTAACAGTCTTGCACTTACTTATTAGCTTATTACTGTAGAGATATTACTGTATTCTTTTAGATATGAGAAACCTAACTAAGCCCGAATGAAAAATTAGAGGAGTTAAATGCAAAAGTTTATTGGTTATACAAATTATTAACTAAAATT